GCGATCCCATTGCCGGTCGCGGTACGGGCGCGACACTGAGGGTTGTGATCCCGTTACTGGTTACAAAAAAAGACAAAAAGGAAAAAAAAAACAAGAAATACTGCAGCCACTCCAGAGGTGACTACTCTGATTTTTGCTATCTATTCCTCTAATCAACTTAACCAACTGGATCAACTAATCTTCTAATCAACTGAAAGCCAAATTAGGTTTTCTTTGGTGAAATTAGTGGTTTGATAATTAGCATAAATATTAGAAAGGAGATCTCAGTGGTGAAATTAAAGGTATCAAGAATATATAATTTGGCAAAATATCTGTTAGAGACACTTCAGCATCGTGTGAAGATAGTGTAGAAATGCTTAGGAGTCTTTCTGTTGCCTGGCATGGGCTCTGAGTAGAACTAAATCCCATTATTCAGTGTCACTGCTTGGAAGGAACATTTCATTTAAAGTGTAGCAAGTCAGAGAACTGCAATTCCATTGAGCTTACAGAGCAATTTATATTAAGAGTGTTGCTCTTGCTTGCTAATAAGTGTTCATTTAATAAATGTCTGTATATGCCCCAGAACTTGGCCTATGACTTCCTTTCATTAGGAAAGTAGCTAATTCTCACTCATTTCGAACTTTTCATTGGCTGATGTTGTCTTTCAAAAAGAATCTAAAAGATGTGCATGCAAATTGGCTAAAGTCAATCTATAATTCTGTTCCTCCATCATTTGTGTCAGAATCACTTGAAGTTTAGAATTCTTCAATTTTTTAGCATCTTGCACTTTAAATTTGTAGGGGCGGGTCCTGAGACTGAATTGTAACTACTTTCTGTGGTGATTCTTTTATACTCTGAGGATTCAGCCTATGAGAACATAACCAAAAAAAGCATCATCCTCATTTGCTGCAGGCTATCTCAAAGGCAGACCACAGACTCAAGAGGAAGTCAAAATCCTCCTGACTGCTGGGTGTGAAAAAAAAAAAAAATCTGTAAAGCAGTAGTAAATAGCACAGCATTAAGCTCCCACATCCTACAAACTCTATTCCACAAATGTGTGATTATAGCTATTTTCCCATCCATCTAGATCAAAATAGATGAAAACTAGCCTTAGGCATTCAATGAGCTCATCCATGGCCAAAAATATTCCAGTCAAGGGACGATTATCAATAGCTTTCCAACTGATGATTGTGATCCATTTACTGTGACATCAATGAAAACTGTTGGCCAAAAGCTTATTATAATGAATATGATTTTGGAGGGAAACCAGTTTGACTATTGAGTTGCTTTTTCTGACATCAATAAGCCCCAGTTCATTCACTCATAAGACATTTTGTCTGACTTTCATCAACTCATCAAATATCTATTGAGAGCCTTTTTAAAATCATGTAGTCTTAAATTCCAACAATCACCATGGAAGATTAAAGAAGCAAAGGCCTACTGCTGAACTTTTATCTCTAAATTATCAATCGTTAGACAGGGAAAATGCTGTGGTACAGGAGTCAGGTTTTGAGTTCGGGCATTGGCTGCAAAGTCAGTGGCAATTCAGTAAAGCTCCTACGACCGCTGTTTCTTCTTCTGGGCAGTAGGGAATAAAATGCTTGTCTTGCCTATTTTACAGATTCAGTAATTCATTCATAAATATTTGTTTGTCATCTACTATTTTCCAGGATATTTTCTAGGACCTTGAGGGATATAGCAGGAAACAAGACAGGCAAGGAGACTGCTCTCATGTAGGGTTACTCTAATAACTAGAAAAAATATGTACATGTTGTAATATACAAATATATTTGTAAAACAAATAAAAATATGTAAATATTAATAGAAATATTTTCAGTAGTAAATACATGTAATATTTTTTAAAGCTTAAACCAAAGACTTTTCTAAGAATGTGTTAGATTTTTTAGATCTTACATTGAATAATTAAGAAGAGAAAGACGATAATCTAATGAAAGATGTGTTGATCTAAACAACACACCCAGCACTTCAATAAAAGATATTCTCCTAATTCCTTAAAGATAAAAAGAAATCATTTTCTGGCAGGATTACATTTCTTTAATTTGAAAATATGTCAGGTCCTTGCTATAACACTCTTTCACATACAGTAGAATTTACAGTAAATTTTCTTT